CCCACTGAAGGTGTAAATGGGAACAATGAACGTGGAGCTTTAGGAGTCAGACCGTTTGCCCTCAGGCAGCTACGGGCTGTTAGCTGTCGGATGCTAACAGACTGCGGGCTGAGAAGTGGCACCTTCTGGAAGAGTCTGTCCTCAGCAGCAACAACTCAGCAGTGATTATATTCATTTTATTTCAGCCGTTGCACGTGTTTCAATCAGATATCAATACAATAAAGTGTGTTAAGTTGTAGTTTAATACAGTGTTGGCCTGTTTTAATGTATAACGTCTGTTAAATATAAGTTTGTATAAAATCCATGTTTTTAGTTTAAAAATAAACGTTGCTAATATCGAATAAGACCATATTGAAACTTTGTGAAATCAGTATTCATTATTAAAAATGAAGGAAGTTGATTTGTCGTTCTGTGAATGAACGTGCACAGAGAAATCATCGTTCACTCTCCGTCCTCTCCGGTCCGAGGGGCGGGACTGAGACGAGCCATGATTGACAGTTCAAACTGTAGGTTGTTCATATTGTGAGACGTGAATGTTTACGTATTGGTTACAGTCAGTCATCACCACCTCCGGCCCCATGACAACGCCTTTTGTTTCGCCGCGGTCTGCGCATGTCTGTGCAGGTGTCGGGCTTAACACCTCACGCGGAACTCGCTCGCGCGAATGCATTCGCTCCCCTTTGCTCACACCTCCGGAAACTTTCCCACGGGTCCGTCTCTCTCACCTCCTCCCCATGCACGCGCTGCGTGTTCTCTCACCTCAACAAAAGCTCTCGTGCCTCTTTTCGGACCATTTGGACACGTGCGGGAGGACAAAGGGTGTTTAGGGTATAACGATAGAATGATGGAAAGAACAGTAGGCTATTTGTTGTTTTATCTATTTATCTATTTATCTCTTTATTCTGAGATGAGCCATTCTGCATAATGAGTTACACTTAAAGTATAGTTTGTTTAAGATTTTGAATGAGGACTTTTACTTCTAGAGTGGTTCTATGTGGAGTTGTATACTTTTAGAAGATCTGAGTACTTCCTCCACCTCTGCCTACACATAGAGGGAATATATATTATCAGGTATATAATACAAAAACATGTGATTAAAAAAATGAAAAGTGAATAAGCACCCTATGACCTTAAATGAAAAAGACATCTCGGTCGGGTGTATCTCATCATGCACGCGGTGACGGACCAAAGTGACAGTCCTTTGTGTAGCTGATCAAAATCTCGGTATAGGGGCACGCTGAGAGGGGGGGGGGCAGCAGGAGAGCAGATCAATAAGCAGATGGCGCGCGATCGAATATGTGCATGTTGTCGGCTGATGGCGACGATGCTTCCCGGTGTTGTGTGCACGCGTCCCCCTCCATGCTCTCCAGGGAGCGGACGCTGCACGTGCTGAAGAAGATAGTTTCTGTGCGATAGACGGCCGCGTCCCTCACGTTAACGCTCATTATTATACATCAGTGAAAACATGTTGGGGTTTTCTTTAACACCGAGGGGATTGCGACATGAAACTTTCAGAGCGAAGTGAAGGAATCTGAGATCAGCTGATCAGTGAATTAACTGAGCAAATGGTGAAACAGCACACACGTGTTTCCTGATCTCCACCAGCGAGTATAATTGAAACACAATATATAGGTATTGGTTAGAATATTGAGTTATTAGGATAAGATAAGATGCCTCTATTGATCTCCACAGAACTCAACATGACAATCCAAGCAGTAGCTACACACCGTATACCCGCGACCAGAGCTGTAGTGCTAAAAATATATGATAGTAATGACAGGCATACATGTAATATGATAACCATAACAGTGTATATACACCAGAATAGTATAAAGTAAAATTTGAAAGGTGAAATGTATTGATATACACAGTGTGTTATCACGTGTATTCCTGTTCATTAGTTAGTTTCATGTAAAACCACACACATCATATTACAGGTCATGTGACCTGCATCTTTTATTTCATATTGGTGCTGAATCTGGTTTGTTAAATCTGCTGTGTCACATCTTTCCTATCACTGCGGGCTCCTATACGGCGGAGAGACTGATGTTGTTTGGCACGCGGATGGATGGGCGCGTGCATGCAACTTTCAGTGATTGTGTAATTCATTGGTTACAGTCCGCGTGCGGGCTTATATCCTAGAATTCATCAATGTGCTGCTTTTGTTTCAAGCCGCCAGAGACACACACAACACGCGTCTGGATACAAACACGATGACAATAGAAGGCTTGGTGCGTGTGTATGTGTGTGTGTGTGTGTGTGTGTGTGTGTGTGTGAAGCGTGCCGCGTGGGGGGGGGGGGGGGGGGGGGGGGGGGGGGGGGGACAATAGAGGCACGCGCTGCCCTCATTAGAATGACAATAGGGGGCGAGGTGGGTCGCGAGCGCCAAAAAAAAAGCAACAGTTTGTTAGCACACACAAACACACACTCACACACACACACTTTGTGTACCTGTCCCCCTTATCTTGTACAGAGCGCAGGCACACTGCAGGAGGGAAGCAACTGGCTTTATTTAATAAGGCAAACATTATTTATCCATTGTTTTTTTGTTCTTTTACAAGGGAGACCTTTATCTGTCTCAGAACGCAGGTTTACAAAGAGCCTAAACCTGAACTCGGAGAACCCGGAGTTTAGGTTACCTCTCTTTTGTGGAACTGAAAACTCTGAGTTAGTTAACCGATGAGGGGAAACTCGAGTTTTCACTAAACCTGCTTCCTGAATCAGGGATCAGCTTAAGTGTTTTTGTTTGGTTCTCATGCAGTCACAGTGATATCGAGCTGTAGGATGAAGACTCGGTCTACTCGCTGCAGCTATGCCGATAAATCAGCTGATATTGCAGATGTATATGCATCAGTGATGTCAGCTGATAAGTAACAACCATGTGCAGAAACACCAAACTATTTTCCCACCAGAGAGCGCTGACAAGTTGCGCTCCCGTATCTATGAGATCATATCAGGATTGTTTGTTTATGTTTTTAAAAGATGACTATACAATATATGTACTTTTTAAACTCCCAAATACCGATATCTGCATCGGCCTCTAGTATCAGCATCTGATCCAGCCTTGTTTCACAGCCTGGTCTTGTATGAATGCTTTTTAAACTTTTTTGCTTTCCCAGCGTAATTTTCACAGCTTAACATTAGACGCTCAGAACAAGTGCTCCCGAAGTCAGGTGACGTAGTATAGAGAGCGAAGTAGGGAGGAGGTTGTGGTGGATGTACGGGTGAAAGAAATACAGGACTTTCACCCAGACGACCACTCTTAATGTCCCCAGAAGTCCACGTGGACTATTTACTTTGACTGAGCTTACGTGCAAAACCCAATTCACGTATCAAACGTCCTCATTTTTACCCACACCATGATCTTTTCCTCAAACTACTTGCTTTTGTTGAGGAAAAGATCATGGTTTGGGTAAAAATGAGGACGTTTGATACGTGAATTATACTACACGTGAAAAGCTTAAAATGTGCTGACATGACACAAGAAATGTCCTTATTTACACGCCTTCCCATTAGACCACGTTGGTTTTCCAGAAGTGTAATTGTGAGGTTGAGTTGGACACTTTCATCTAATTTATCATATTTCATAAATAGGCTACAGTGTAGTAGCTACTAAGTATAGTTATCAATAGCTTAATATGGAAAGACTCAAGTAAAGTAGAAGTACCTCAAGATTCCCGAAAGATTTATTAACGTGTTCATGCAAAACAGAGAAATTAGCTTTTTGTTAATGACATCAGGGCAGCTAACACACACACACACACACACACACACACACACACACACACACACACA